GTTGAAACTGGTGTGCCAGGTGCGGGTGGAGTTCCCGGAGTAGTAGCAGCATGCATGGTAGGTGAAGCATATCGTACGCCTTGCTTATACTGCAAATGAAATGGTACCTGATAAGAATAATGTGACACTGATAACAATGGAGATGCTGAAATGCAAAATAGTAGTAATAGAGGGGCAGAAAATAAAATCTGAAACTATTGTATTACTACTGTCAACAAAATAAATTACTTTATTTAAAATAAAAATCTGTGCATTCTTACACAGATTTAAAACATTTTCCCATAGGAATGTTGCCAAAGACCAAAGCCCACACACTGTGTGGCATAGTTAGTCCCACATTCTCTGTTGTTCAAGGGTGGGGTACTCGACTGGAGACCAGCCTTCACAAATTCCTTCCCGCAAAAAGCAAATTGTATCTTGAATCTGGGGGGTCACACTTGCACAGGCCCCAATAAGCCAGCCAAAAAAACCTCATACTGCTGTCTCGAGGAAACCTGTAGGTGGGACACCAGCAATTCAGTTACCTGATTACCATAAAGATAGTGATACACGCACATCAAAAAGTCCAGATGCACAGAGTGAAAGATCGAACCAGACCGAGGGATTGGCGAAACCATGGAAAAACGGTCGGGTTTGGACACTGAGCAACCAGTGCCTGAAACCAAGGAGCCAGAAGGATCACTTTCCCTCTGTAAGACTCGAACCACACCAGAACCCTGAGCACCAGCTGGACCAGGGCAAAGGAGAGGTACAGGAACCCTCACCTCAACCAGTCCAGCTGAAAGGCATCCACCATGAGGGCCTCTCAATCGGGAAATGGCACCACATAGAGGAGAAGATGCCAAGACCAAGCCGACATGAAGAGGTCCACGTTAGGGCACCCGAACATCTTGCAAAATTACAGGAAGGAAGCAGCATTCACGGTCCACTCCATGGAAATGGGAAGAAACCGGGAAAAGCCATCGACAAGAAAGTTGGACACTGCCTGAACACGAATATCGCAGAGAGCCAAGCTCCAAGAACAAAAAAAAAAAAAAAAAGAGGTACCCGGAGCTGCAGAGGGTTCAGGTTCTTCTGGGCTCCATTCTCCAGCTCCATTTGGACTCTTTCCCTGTGGTCCATTGTCTCGGCCAGGGGATTTGCTTTGGTCCTTGTTTCATTAGAGTTGGTTGGTTGTTTCTTAAGAGTTGGTTCTTTAGTTGGCGACTTTAGAGTCGACGAGGGAAAACACAAGGACAGCAACATTGAGGCTCCTGCCCAACTGCTTGAGCAACCACCAAGTCACCCATATCCGACTCAATGCCAACAAACAGCAGTGCTACAGCTGGGTCAAGGTCACCAGAGGCAGAGAAGGCGATGCAGACCGAGAGTCTCAAACAACGCCCAACCAAGTCCTTCATTTTTTATGACCTTTGCAATTGTACGTATTGCTTCTCTTACTTTCAGGATGTTTTCCCAGTGAAAGGGAGCATAACAATCCCCTGCAAATTGTACCCATGAGAGGGATAGTTTCTGGCTCTGTTCCCCAGCAGGCTATTTATAAGACTGCTATGGCTGATGTGACTCAGTAGGGGGGAGGGGAGCACAAGTTAGCTGTTTGTTGTTTTAGATTCAGCTACTCAGAACAAAAATAGCACTGGCAATTGTGAACCCATAGTGGACTTATCTGGCACAGGAGCGGGGCTGTGACAAGATAGCGTCTTCAGGGAACCACCGTGAGCTCCTCCAGAAAGAGATTTTGATGGAAAAATTATATATTAATAAGGCAATGTATAAAGACAATTACAAAAGAAACAAAGGTGTATACAACAGGTAAACCCTTGTATACACCGCACATGCCACCAAGATTCGTTTGTTCATAATCTGCTATTCCAAAATCACTATCAACACTACTTTTGTACTCACTGGTTTCTTAACTTTCATTACATTGTTTATTCAATCGCTGTGAAACACCATCATCCATTTATGTATAATCTTATCTTACATATGATGATGTTGCTGCTAGTCACAAACTACAGATGATTCTTTTAAATAGTAATCATTTAATATTTTAAAAACAAAACTAACTTGTGGGCCAGGTGGTTTTCCTGCTCTTGGCTTTCCTCTAGCTTGCTGCTCCTGAAGCTGTTTCTGATGAAGATTTTGAAGGAATGCTTGTCGATCACTGGGTGTCATCATTTGTAGCTGATGGGGTGTCACACCCTGTGGCAGACGAACAACCGCTCCCGGAATGGCAACCTGCGAGGACGAAAATTTGCATTAATACTGAAAATAGCAAAACATATAAATGAAATGAGAAATTAATGAAGTGATAAAATACAAGAGAGCACATATGGGTAAAATTTAATCAAATCATGAAATGGAAAATAAGCCCATCAACTTACTGTATGAACTTGCTGTGGAACAGTGTTGGGCATATTAGGTGCTGGTATACTGCCTGGTGCAATTTGTGATACAGCTCCTGGAGCACGAACCGAAGGGCCACTAACAGTGAGAGGCATTGTAGGGATACGTGGTCCTGGTGCAACAACATTCGGAGGAGTTGTGCGAGAGGGAACTGGAGGTGTTACACGCGCACTTGCCGGAGGTGTAGCACGTGAAGGAATCGGTGGAGTTGTCCTGGATGTTATTGGAGGTGTTGCACGAGAATTTGCTGGAGGAGTTGCCCGTGAAGGTGTAGGAGGAGTTGCCCGGGATGAAATTGGTGTGGCTGCTCGTGAAACAATGGGTGGCGTTGCACGAGATGTGTTTGGGGGAGTTGATCGAGCTGTATTAGGAGGTGTTGTCCGAGAATTATTGGGAGGTGTAACCCTGGTGGCATTGGGCTGAGTAGCTCTGGATATATTTGAAGGAATAACACGAGGAGCCATTGGAGGCGTAACACGAGATGGGATGGGCTGTTGTGGTCGAGAATTATTAACTGCAAGAAATGAAGAGAATACAATATTTTATTAGATTGTCTTTTAAACAAACAAATTTCTCTTGTGCACTCCTCAATCCACCATGGGCCAAATGTTGATTAATGTTTAGTGAGTAAGAAGCTATTGGACACCACAGGTAAGATGTCTAGATACAATATATGAGCTCTGGAAAATCAGGAGTAAGGCTATGTGGCAAGTCCAGGAATGAAATCCATCATCATTGTCTCGTTAGCTACTTTACAAAATTACTACAGTATATACTTGCCTAACACATTACATTACCACAAGCAATATAGTATTTCATTTCAAGTACAGCATGTGTGAAGATCTTGATATTATGATTATTTAGCTACAACATGCTGTATTTATAAACTAAGAATCAATATATTCTATGTAGCATAATGTGATCCATGCTGGAGACCCTATTCACAACAATATTGCAAAGGAATAATATACTTGCTATTATTATATTTCATGTAAAATATCTATGGTAACAAATGAGAAATTTAACTTACCCTGAGCAGATATTACTGCTGAAACTTCTGTAACTGTGGTTGGGATTGATGATGATGGTGGCTGATTTGGCAAATGAGATGAATTACGAAGCATGGTAGACTCTGAGAGTGTGTTTTGAATAAGGTTTTGGCTTGAAACTGAAGCTAAAGGTTGAGTATTCTGTGTAGCAGTTGTTGATTTAGTACTTATAGGAGTACCTAATGTTGATACAGGATGAGCGATTTGAGATGTTTCCTGACTGCCAACCTGAGGCAAACTTTGAGCACTTTGATGTAATATTTGTGATGCTCCCTGAATGATTCCTTTAGGGGCTTGGATTGGTTGAGGTGTGACTGAACGAGACGTTACAATTTGTGGAGGATTTGTTGCCGAGATAGGTGCTGTAGGAGGAGCCCTGGGCTTGTCAACAGTGATAGAGCTTGATGCACTGGAACTAGCAGAGGCCCGTGTCATCACAGATGGTTTAGTAATAGGTTGTTTCCATGTCTGAGAGGTCTTCAGCTGATCTAATAATGAGCCACTCTTACTATTTTCTTCTTCCTCATCACTAAACTCTAAAGCATCAAAGGAAAATTTTTTTTCAGGTTCCTTGCTCTTGGGCTCTTCCTTAATTTTTAATTCTTCAGCCTTCTGTTGAGCGACATCTTTTTCTTTTTTCTTTCTTTCCTTTCTTTCCTTAACAATATGTGGTTCGGAAGTCTGTCCTGAATGTGACCTTGGTTGCTTGAGAAGGCGTGGATGATATTCAATTTCATCAATTTTACTCCGTTCAATAAGGCAATCAGGTACCCAATCGGGAGTCACAATGTTTATGTGATCTTCATTCTCTAAAGCACAGTTATATTTAGCCTGAAAAAGTAAAAATGATTTTGAGAAGAAAATAGGACATTATACATAAATGACAATTTCATTCACCCATTGTCATTTCCCAATTTAATTGTCATTGGGTAATAAAGCATTACCTCAGAAAAAATATGGAGAAAATATTGTGAAATATTATAGATATTAAAAACGAAAATGAAGCCAGCTTTGTCTGTAGTGGAAAGAAATTTTTGGAAGATGGGAGCTCAAGCCTAATCACAACTGTTGTGAAGCAAAGGACCTAGACAACAGGACAAAGTTACACAAACACACAACCAATACTGAGGTCTAGGAGGAAAAGACCAGCACATCCCAGGCTATCTGCAGAGTCCACCATGAAAAGAATAGGAATCGCCTGTTGTGGTTGACTCTGTAGATTTTAGAGATCTTAAGAGAAGCAAATTTCATTATCTAAATTGGCTATTATCTAAATTGGCTTAAAAAATCAGTGTTGAATGTAATGAAACATCATTTCCTGGGTAGAGCCCCAAAGGCTCCCTGGAGCTATTGAACTGATATTAGCTAATATTAGTACTGGGTTTCAGTCTTATAGAGTTGTCATGCTGCCTACCGGGGACCACTAGCCAGAAAATGGTTCTTTCAGAGAGAAGAGAGCAATGGTCTATGAAACTTTAATGTATAAAAGTATTCATGTCTGTCATCGACTGGGGGTTGAGCACCCAAAAAGTTAGGCACTTAAAAACAGACCAAAAGGCCCCTCCTGGTAGAAATATTGCAACCTAAAACCAAAGGCTAGAAACTCCCCTGAATAAAAACAAGCTAACAGGCAATATGCCAACACAACGAGGGGCACTCTTTGGGCCCCCCCCAGAGGGGGAGAGGGGTCCAGTAGCAGAACCGTCAGTGTCAAGGCTGAAAACGTATCCAAAACCTGTCGAATGGGATAAGGGAGGGTGCCAGGGAGCCTCCGGGGCTCTACCCAGAAAATGGAGTTTCATTACATTCAATGCATGTTTTCTGTGAGGACCCTCCATCAGCTCCCTGGAGCTAACTACCCAAAGAGAAATAATAAAGAGGATAAAGTTACCTGGGGAAAGGTCTCCAGGTAACCGAACTCGGCGAGCTAGGAAAGAACCAAATCCCTGGCGAGCAGACACGCAGACAGGCCAGAACCCAAACACCTAACAGACACAGGCGAGCCACCACGACCCGAGTAGGGCGCGCGAAAATGTGAGGCACCAGATTAACCCTTAAACTGTGCATGGCGTATATATACGCCATGAGTAACATGTCCCATGGTGCCCATGGCGTATATATACGCCATAGGGTGCCAGGCCCGATTCAAATGGCCCGCGGCTACACAGGGTTCTGACCCCAAGAATGAGATAGCAACCAAGCAGTCACTACCCCTATAGGAATGAGGACCCGAAGGACCCAGAGAAAGGAACCCTGAACCCCAAGGGGTGTACACACAGGGCACCTAGGGAAGGAAGCCCTAAGTGCATGTAGCACTTGATACAAACTCCTGGCCACCGCCAATACACAGAAGGAACACCGAGGCCAGATGTTCAATAGTTCCCTCAAACCAACACTGAAAAAGCCCAGAAAGAGGAGAGACAGATCATGCCCAGGGAAGAGAACACAATCACCCACCAAAACAATGTCAGTAATATTACATGAGGTCAACATATGCAACACATCATATAAGATTATCCATAACATCATGTATGGCCAGGCACATGCCAAATCCTGTATTGCATTTTATTATTTAATAACATTTAAATTACCCCCCAATCAAGTCTATTAAAATATTTAAAAACGAATCTAAATCTAGAAATATTACACTTGTACAGCATTATCACACAGCATACAAGCTTTCAAAATTTGCTAACACTCTTACCCCTTCAGGTTTTCCAACAATGAGATGGGTGCAGGAGTTATTTAATTCAAGACTACACTGCCCTCCAGCAAAAGTAATCATTGCCCACACCACTAAGGTGTCGGCACTGCCAAGCTGAGATACGCATGCTGTAACACCTGAGAATAACTGTGTGGTATCAGGAGAGAATCCTCCACATCTGAACTGTATAGTTATGGGAAATATTATAATTTTTTATTAAATACAATATATATTAACAAAAATTATTTCCAAGCTTTCTTTAATATAACATTCCCACTTAAAATAGTAGCATTAATAAATTAGTGTGCAAGCAACATGAATGGTTTAACCCATTTCAAAATAATCATTATAACTTGCAACTTCATGCAATATACCAGCAAGACAAATATTGTATAATTGTAAGTGTAGAATTATAATTTCTATACATAAAACATCCAGATAGTTACTGAAAATGTAATACAGGTATTATTAAATAAATCCACAAAGACCGTGATGAGGGTTTGAACCTACGCACGGGATGTTCCCAGCTGCGCCTTAGTTAACTGTGCCATAACATGGTAAAAAGAAAAAATTGTGGATTTGTTCATTTGATATATTACGCTATTGTGATTTCTGTGTGTAGAGGTATTATTATGGGATACATTATCTTGTATTAATACTGCATTGCACAATAATAAATTATTGTGCAATGCAGAATACAATAAATTTCCCTTACAGTGGTAAAGATTTTTAATTAATATTACATACAATTTGACAGCATGAGGGAAATCTAAAAGGATATCTCTGTTTTGGAATTGTTTACAATACAAATAAGACATTGAGAGATCAAATGCTAATTTCTGAGCTAGTCACTTGATCATTTCCTTAACCCTTACACTGCTCGTATCACTTGAGAGCGATTAGCCCATATGCATCAATAGCCTTGCGATGTTTTAACCCTTCAAATGTGTGTGTCAAATAGGAAACTTCTCTCCATTTCTGACCCCCCACTGCATGAATCAGTGAGGATAGTTTTAAAGTACCACATCAAATCTAAGTCTCGTGAGTACACAGGGCTCACATCTGCTTCCTCAAGCCTCTGAGGGCAAACAGGACAAACTATTTAAAGGACAAACTCTTTAAACAGACGCAATCTTGGAAACAAAATCATGGGCACCCTTCCTGGGTGTGAGGGCCTCAGTATGAAGAGAGGGATCATGAGTAATGCAGGCAACAGCAACTCATAGCATTGCTATGCAGCTGGAGCCCACAGCATCACCTGATAATGAAACAAATAAGCAACTGTGATTATTTAAAGAGGACCATAAACGTTCTTGAATGTGCTAAAAACTACGACAAGATTCCGAAATCGGTGAATGCAACACTGGTTATGATGTTCACAGAACAGGGGCAAACATCCACAACACACAGCCATGGTTCTGTGCATCTACCCATCATGAAATAGGACCTCATGTTCCTGTAGTAAATATACTTGTGGAAATTGATTCATATTAAGGATTTAGTGACCAGGATTCTGAAAATAATAGCAGTGATGTGGCTAGAGTTAGCAATGTGTGTAGTATATTGGGAGGCATTTTGCTGTGACAGGAAAGTGACACCAATATAAGATTTCTCATTTTTACTGCAAGAATTTTGCTAATTTTTTTCTCATTTTACCCAAAAATGAGAGATCTCGTTAAGTCTTGTGGGTGAACAGGGTTCACATCTGCTTCCTTCGCCCCTGAGAACCAAAAAGGTGGAGACCCCTAGCCTCTCAGGGGTGAATTCTTGAACACACCAGCGAAGTTATCTCTGTCAGTGCAGAGGCAGTACTAACAGGCACCTAGGGAAGGGACTTAGGGCACATGCAGCCTGGAAAACAATGAAGTCAAGCCTACACAACAAGCTGAATAAAACCAGCGTTGAATGTAATGAAACGCCATTTTCTGGGTGGAACCCGGAGGCTCCCCGGAGCTTACTGGGCTGATATGCTAATGTCAGACTTTGGCATCAGTCATGTGTATGGAGTTCTGTGGGCCTACCGGGGACCACGAGCCAGAACCTGGCCCCCTCAGAGAGGCATGGGGAGCAATGGCCTATAGAATCCCCCATGTGGTTGGAAGCATTCTATGTCTGCCATCATCCGGGTCAGGCACCCAGAAAGGTAAGCATCCCGAAACAAACCCTTATTCTGGTGAAAATTTTGCCCGCAGGTGGGACACTAACAGGAAGCCACCTGATCACCATAGAGATGATGATGAACTCAAGTCAAAAACACCATACGCGAAGATTCGAGAAGACCGAGTCAGCCACGTGACGCTCTGGTCTGATTTGTTGGAAGAAGCGGAGCCGCGAGAAAACCTCCGGGGTTCGGACACCGGGCAAGCAGCACCTGAAACCACGGCTGGGCCGGCCACCACGGGGCCAGGAGGACTACTCTTCCCTGATAAGTCTCCAAGCGAGTCAGGACCTGGAGCAACAGCTGAACCGGGAAAAAGAGGAACAGAACCCCCACCTCGACCAGTCCTGACAAAACGCATCGACCCCGACAGCCTCGCAATCAGGGAAGGGCGCCACATACTGGGGAAGGTGCTGCGACCATGCTGACGCAAAAAGGTCCACCTCGGGGTTCCCGAACGTCTGGCAGAGCCAACGGAAGGAGTCAGCGTCGACCCTCCATTCCTTGGACAGGGGAAACGAAATGAGACAGGCCTTTGGCCAAGACGTTGGACGCTCTCTGCACGTGAACCGCCAGGAGAGCCAAGCCCCGAGAACTCACCAGACGAGTCACCCGAAGCAACCAGCGCCAAAAAGCCAAGGACCGCATCGAACACCACCCCCCCCCTCAGTTCAGGCAATGAGCTTACCAGACTGAAATATGTGTATGTATTAGACCATGACATCAGTCAATTCGATAGGAATCTAGCCAACCGAGGACCACGAGCTAGAACCTGGTCCCCTCAGAGAGGCACGAGGAGCAATAGCCTAAAAAAAACCTCATGTGGTTGAAAGCATTCCATGTCTGTCATCTACCGGGTTAGGCACCCAAAAAGGTAGGCGTCCCAGAGCAAACTACAGCTGGTTAAAAATTGCAACTGAAAGCCGAACTAGCAAGCAGAACTCCCCAAACCAAAAACAAGCAAACAAGCATGATGTCACCATCGCTGCCTTGCCGCTGTCTGCGCAGCTTTCCCCCTCCCTTTATAGGAGGGGGAATGGAGCGCCCCAGACCCTTCACGCCGGCTATCCAACCCCAGTACAGAGGCTGAATGTCAAAAACACGAAAAAAATGCCAACTGGGGGGAGGAAGGGAGGAAGGATTTAAAAACTCTTGAGAAAGTTTTAGAAAGTGCTAAGCAATCAAATCAAATTCTGGCGTGCTAAACATGCAAGCCTAACAACTATTCTTATCCACCTTCAAGTGGCACCCAGCCCAGGTACTGTCCACCCTATCTAGCCCATGTGAGAGTTTGTAGAACACAACCAAGAAAAATGCCTTGTAATTGGCATATTAACGGCTTTAGAGGTCTAGGCTATACGGTCAAATTACAATATGAACCTTCCTTGCATCATATAAAATACTAATGTTGAAATTTCTGGGCTGATATACAAAAGTGTTCTCTAGATACTACACAGGGCCAACAGTACAAAGGTACAACAAAAATAACATCAGGTATAAAGGATACGGTAACTGTTTACCACACTTGGCTGATAGCACAACCCATCTTGAAGATACAACTGGTTTCTCATATATGTCTCTCACTTCTCCAATTTCATTTTCATTTGGATCATCTCCTGCAATAAGGTGGGTCATGTAATCTGTGATGTGAGCATCTTCTTTTGCTCCTCCATCTGTGAGAAGCCTCACCACCTGAAAAGCAGCACAATAATTTATGAAGAATATACAATAAAACATATACTGTTCTATAAAATTATATGCATAGCTTTAAATGGTACAGTATGGGATTTTTGGGATACTGTACAAGAGTGATTAAATTCTTGTAAAGCCACTAGCACATACAGTATTAGAAAGAAGAGGGTGGGGGAGAAAAACGAAAACAAGTTAAAGGAAAATTTGTCCAGCACAATTTGTGAGGACAGCAGCAGGAGCATAAGGCCACAAAAGTATAGAAGACTGTCTCATGGAGCATCACACTCCGGCAGCCGCCCACCAAGCCCCCTCACGGCATCAACGGGCCGGACAGCGAGGGGGAACAAGACCTAAATATTTAAACATTCTGCTTCTATAATGAACATGTCCTGTGCTCGTAGGGCCCCGGGCAAGTGCCCATCTTACCATGCGTTAAGACGGCTCTGAGAATAACATAAAATACTAGTAGCCTAGACCAACGTGTAACACGCTCGTCACCTGTGTGAAGTCTTTACTGTTTTGTGGCCAGGTGTCGAGCCTTTACACAGGGTCCTAGGAGTTAGGCAACTGTTGAGTTGCTGCCTGGGTAAGATCCGTAGCTGGCCTAGGAAGCCTTCGACAAACCTAACAGGCTTCCTGTACCAGACAATTGGTAACAAGCTTCAACTTACAGTTTATGAGCAAAGTGATGATCATATCCAACGATAACAGACAGGATCCTGTCTACCTCCACTCTAGGCAATAAGCAGTTTTACAGGAGCTACATGATCACTGACCTCCTCAGGCACCTTTCCGGTTACGTAGAACTTTACATCCTTAAAAAGCTGGTCTGAAACATTGAGGTGTGCCAGACACTCGGCTACATCCATGATCTGTGTTAGTGTTTACCTCTAGCCACAGCTTCCCGCCTAGCAGATGGCGCCACATTCAATATTCTCCCGCGAAAATAAGCCACCATTTAAACCTGAATTTACCTGAAAGCCACTAACACTCTAGTAGCCTCGACGAGAACACGAAGCCGGCGGCTTGTCAAAGGTCCCCACATTTGTTATGATGATTTTTTCTAGATGGATTTTAAAATTCAACAGTTTTGGCATTTACGGCTTCTGCGGGTAGGCAGCTCCATGGGTTTATAACCCTATTGGTGTACAAGCATCACATGTTTTCCCAATTTTAACCATTCTGACATTGGCACCATAGCCTTAGTGATATCATGAAAGAGTCTCAAGACTTCTGAGCCTCTATTTATACTTACAACAATTATTACAACACTATTTTAGGTCTGATTACAACATTTCCCACTCTGATTACAACACTTAGGTCTGATTACAACAAAACCATACAGTGGGACCTCAAGGCCAAGGTATTTGAATTTGTTTAGTAAACAGATTCAAATACTTTGGCATTGATTACATAAACAGTGTGTTTACGTATACAGTGTGAACGTAGTCAAGCTGAGAGCCATCATACAGTTGCATTTTGCGAACAGCACCTCCCTGCCTGGGTGGACGACGATTTAACATATTTGTTGTCTCTGCTATGACTAAACCTAGGTCCAAACATGAGTCTAATACTGAGTTAAAATGTTGCCTTGCGTGTTAGCATGCCCAATGGTATGTATCATTATATCATCAGGATAGCTAATGATTTGATATGATCAAAATTGCAGATATTTTATAGCACATGATGTAAACAATGTATTAACACATAATCACAATATCTCTGTAATTAACTTGAATGTAAGATCTCTAAGCAAACACTTCGATGATGTTAGTGCCTTGATTGAAACTATTGACAACAAATTCTCTTTTATTATACTTACTGAAACGTGGTTAAAAGAGGATACTACTCTTTAACATGCCAAACTACTCAGCAATTCACAACTGTCAACCAATTCAGAGAGGTGGTGGTACTGCTCTTTACTACCGCCAAGAACTAACATGTTTAAAAGTAATTAGAACTAGAGACTACTGTGGGGAGTATATCTTCGCCAGTTTCAGAGTCAAGGGTGCTGAGTCTGTCCTGACTGTGGGAGCAGTCTACAGAATTCCTAACACTGATGTGTTCGAATGCAACTCTAACCTTAGAAATCTAATACTAGATAACAGACTGAACAAAAACTATCTAATTATCGCAGGGGACTTTAATATTGACCTCTGCGAGCCTGAAAACCCTACTGCTGCCAGTTTCCTTAACTGTATGAATTCCTGCTTCCTCATACCATTAATCAATAGACCTACTAGAATCACTGATAGTACTGCCACGGCTCTTGATCACATCTGGACCAACATAACCTCTCCACTTACTTCAAGGATAATCATCGATAGCACTACAGACCATTACCCCCACATTTCTCCTAACTAACATTAACAAACCACCTCTAGAGACAAGGGATATAGTCTGCACAATGAAACTGCTATAGGCAATTTTATAGCTGCTGCTACTAATGTCAACTGGGAGTCCGAATTAGGTAACATCAACCTAGCAGTGCAATCTTTTCTTCAAAAAACTCTCAGCCTTTATAACACCCACTGTCCTATGCTAACGAAACAAGTTACAACTAAAAGGCTAAACAATCCTTGGCTTACAAAGGGAATACTTAAATCCATTAATAAAAAACATGACCTTGAGAAGAAGTATAGGTTAGGAATCGTCTTCAAAGAATTTTCAAAGAATTACTCGTCATTACGATCTAAAATAATTAGAAGAGCCAAAACTAAATACTACGAAGATAAATTTACCCAAACAAAGGGCAACATTAAGAAAACATGGAGCACAATTTCACAAATATTGGGATCAAAGAAGATTATATTTTAAATAACAAACGAATACTCCTGTCCAATAACGATGGTCAGCTTACAGCCTCTGATACTGCTATTGAGTTCAATAGGTTCCTCTCTTCCATTGGGTCATCCCTTGCAAATAATATTTCATCTTCCAGTGTTGATGTTCAGAACTATCTTACAGGTAACTATCCACAGTCTCTGTACCTAACGCCTGCAAATTCCACTGATGTTAATGAGATAATCCTTTCCCTTAAAACCAAGTCTAGTGCCCTTGAGGAGATGCCAACTTTAATTTACAAAAAACCCTCCAGATCTTTAGCCCCTGCTATTGCATTGCTCTTCAACAAGTCACTTGAACTCCAAATCTTTCCAGATATTCTACATTCTTGTAAAGCCGCTAGTACGCGTAGCGTTTCGGGCAGGTCCTTAACCCTAATTTCCCCGGAATACGACCCCGCCGAATCGTTTAACAACCAGGTACCCATTCACTGCTGGGTGAACAGAGGCTACAGTTAAGGATTGGCGCCCGGTCAATCCTCCCCGGCCAGGATTCGAACCCAAGGCAAGGCGCTTGGGCGCTACGCCACAGAGACCTAAAAAAAGCGAGAGTAACCCCTGCGTTTGCGGTAGTGGAAAGGGTTACAGATGCAAATAATGAGCTACATTTAGTTCGGTGTGAAGGGCAGAGGCCCAGTTGTTTATATTTATTTATTTTTTTTTTTTATTTATTCATATACAAGAAGGTACATTGAGTTTGTGAGAATACATAGCATGGTATTTACAATCTTGTAGAGCCACTAGTGCTCTGATGGACTTTATTTAGCTCAGTATTCACTGTGGCATTTAGAGCAAGGAGGTCAGGACTGGAGTAAATGAAGGTTGTGTCGTCAGCAAATAGAATTGGTTTGAGGTATTGGGAGGTATTTGGAAGGTCATTAACGTAGATGAGAAAGAGGAGAGGGCCAAGTATGCTGCCCTGAGGAACACCGATGTTGATGGGTAGGGTGGGAGAAATTGAATTATTCACAGAAGCATACTGGAGCCTGTCAGTAAGGTAAGATTTGAGGTACTGCAGGGAGTGACCTCTGACTCCATAATTATATAATTTAAGAAGACGGTTTTGGTGGCTGACAGTGTCAAAAGCCTTACGCAGGTCCACAAATAACCCAACAGGGAACTCATTTTTATCAAGAGCTGCATGAATCAAGTTAATCATACTAATAAGTGCATCGTTAGTCCTTTTTTTGGGTCTAACGCCATATTGACAAGAGCTAAGTATATTGTGTTTGGCTAGATAAGAGTAAAGCTGCTTGTAGATCAGTTTTTCAAATATTTTTGACAAGTTTGGCAGGAATGATATAGGTCTGTAGTTGTTAACATCTGTGAGATCACCACATTTGTGGACAGGGGTTACTCTAGCTTTTTTTTTAGAATATCTGGAAAGGTTTGGAGTTCAAGTGACTTGTTGAAGAGCAATGCAATAGCAGGAGCTAAAGATCTGGAGGCTTTTTTGTAAATTAAAGTTGGTATCTCCTCAAGGGCACTAGACTTGGTTTTATCTCCAGACCTCATTGATCTAGTATAGAGTATGGAGATGGACTATATGAGATGGACTAGTATGGACTATACATCGATGGAGTATAGATCTCCAGTATCAGCTATTGATACTGGTAATGGATCAAAAGAGTCACCACTTACGGGCTATTCATGCCCGTGCCACCTCTTGGGTCGCTTAATCTTTATCAATCAATCAATCGAATAGCTACACAGCACATTCAGCACCGCTCCTGTGCCAGGTAAGTCCACTACGGGCTCACCATAGCCCGTGCTACTTAGAACTTGTTCCGAGTAGGTGAATCTATAACAACAACAACAGAATAGCTAACACACGGGAGACATCTCCCGTCACGCAGGGTGCAGTCGCACCTCCACAGATCTCCAGTATCATATCTATTGCTACTGGTTATGGCTCAAAAGGGCCACCACTTACGGGCTATTCATGCCCGTGTCACCTTTTGGGTGGCTTAATCTTCATCAATCAATGAATCAATCGAATAGCTAACAGTACAATTTCCACAGTACAGAATGTAGCACTCGGCGTATGCAGTTCTAATCAACCCCAAGATGCTACAGCTGCGACACAGAACAGACAGCAGACTAGGACCTCATCGAGCTACAATTAACGCTCTCGCCACATAGAGCTCTGCGACTCCGGCCTCACTCAGCTCTGTGTAACGTACGATTATGTTACGTTGTTAGGTTCATTAGATACACAGTGTTTAGCGAGTTTCATATTTATTTAGTAGTCTTGGATACAACAGTGTCGTAGACGTTGAGACGAAGCCTGGAGCAGAGCAGAGAGCTGAGTGTGGCCGGAGTCGTGGAGCTCTATGTGGGAGAGCGTTGTAGCTGGATGAGGTCGTAGTCTGCTGTCTGCTCTGTGTCGAAGCTGTAGCGTCTTGGGTCGATTAGAACTGCCCACGCCGAGTACTACATTCTTGACTGGAGATTGTACGTACTGGTTTGCTATTCTCAGATCGCTGGCTTATATACGGTTACTACACCTCACAGTAAAATAGGAGGGTGGAAAAACAGTTACCTGTAAAAAGAGATAGGATTACAGCTTGTGTAATTAGTTATGCCATTAAGATGATGAGATAATGGAGCGAGTATAGGTTTACTCGCTACATCTGTAACGTACGATTATGTTACGTTGTTGAGTAGATTAGATACACGGTGTTTAGTGGGTTTTCATATTTATTTAGCAGTCTTGGATACAGCAGTGTCGTAGACGTTGAGACGGAGCTTGAAGCAGAGCAGAGAGCTGAGTGAGGCCGGAGTCGCGGAGCTCTATGTGGGAGAGCGTTGTAGCTGGATGCGGTCCTAGTCTGCTGTCTGTTCTGTGTCGAAGCTGTAGCATCTTGGGGTCGATTAAAACTGCATACGCCGAGTGCTACATTCTTGACTGTGGAAATTGTACTGTTGGCTATTCGTTTTTGTTTGTTGTTTTAGATATAGCTACTCAGAACGAAGTGTCCATGTAGCACGGGCTATGGTGAGCCCGTAACTGATGATTGATTGATGAAGATTAAGCCACCCAAAAGGTGGCACGGGCATGAATAGCCCGTAAGTGGTGGCCCTTTTGAGCCATTACCAGTATCAAGAGCTGATACTGGAGATCTGTGGAGGCGCGACTGCACCCTGCGTGACGGGAGATGTCTCCCGGACCAAATGGTGACCAAATGGTGTGAGAGCCCGTAACAGTCAGCTATTCACTTTATGCTTGCTCATATTCGGTAACTACACCTCAGCTTCCTCCACTAGGATAGGAGGATGGAAGAATTGTTACCTGTAATCAGGGAAGAGATTATAGCTTCTGCAATTAGTGCTAATTAGTTTCGCCATTAAGCTAATGAGAAGTTGGAGTGAGTTGTATATTGTTTGTACTCGCTACAGCTCTCTGCTCTGCTCCAAGCTCCGTCCCAACGTCTACAACACTTGCTGTATCCAAGACTACTAAATAAACATGAAAACCCACTAAACACCGTGTATCTAATCTACTCAACAACGTAAGATAATCGTACGTTACAGGCTCCTCACTCAAACTATAAACCATCACCCATTGTGAGGACAACTGCACCCGTGGGGCGGTGTATAGAAAAACAATGAGGCGGACATTTCCATTATTCTTTTGTAATTCATAAGTTTGCGCTTCAAATATGATAACAATTAATTGTCTAAAATCATAATTGGCTTCATAGTTTGGAGAAGTGTGGAACATATCACATTTAGGGTTTTCGTATTGTGAACTTTATTTCCCATTTTCTCATGCGGTGAATGACGTCACTGTCAGCTGTGCTTGTGGACACAGACCCACTCGAATTTGTTTGAATGTTTACTACTCTCCGCTTATAAACTAGATTTTTTTTTACATAGCATAGTCCGCAGGCATCTTGAAATTCTCCCCAAAGTAAGTGATGCGTCAAAAGAAGCTATGGAGTCCACATATATGTGAAAAGTACAGTATCGTGTTCTCGTTTTGTTGGACCGTGAATGGAGATGCTGATAAGGCGGCTGTCGAATGTTGTTCTTTGCAGTTATACGTGATGTTAACAAGCGGCCTGCTCTTCTCTACCACCTGGAAGAATACTTTTGTGCTGTTATTTTTAAGAGGAGGCTGTTGTGACTATACTGACTTGTGAGATAGCTGAAGATTTGTAGGTGAAATCTGAGGTTACCCAGCTTGGCAATGTTTACATATTTGTGTAAGGTAAGATGCTCACCTATGTAGGGGGGCTTGTGTTCACCTGTGTAGGGGGCTTGTGTTCACCTGTGTAGGGGGCTTGTGTTCACCTGTGTAGGGGGCTTGTGTTCACCTGTGTAGGGGGCTTGTGTTCACCTGTGTAGGGGGCTTGTGTTCACCTGTGTAGGGGACTTGTGTTCACCTGTGTAGGGGACTTGTGTTCACTTGTGTAGAGTGCATGTGTTTATCTGTGAAGGGGTTTTGTTCACATGTGTAGAGGTTTTATGTTCACCTGTGTAGGGGGGGGGGTTATGTTGATCTGTGTAGGGAGCTTGTGTTGACCTGAATAGGGGTTTATGTTCATCTATGTGGGGGATTCATCTTAGATATGTCAATTTGTACCCAAGCTGGGTCACCAATGAATTTAAACCTATCTAACCATACCCAACCCATTCTAAGCTAACACAATCTATCCTAACAGTATACAAGCTTTTTATAATTTGAGAAGCTTTATTTAACTTGTACTGTTTCTATTGTTACATAAATTATGGTGTACAATTTGACTACTTATTTGTGTTCACTTGTGTAGGGGGGTTGTGTTAACCATTGAATTGGATTTTATGTTGACTTGTGAAGAGTGCTTGTGTTCACCTCTGAAGGGATCATTCCATGCCAGATCACCACAAAAAAGTGGACTATTCTACCTAACCATTTCAGATTTTATGAAATTTGGTAGGATGTTGAAGGACTTAAAGTAACTTATATATATTCAAAATTTTTGTGTTCAGTTGTGCACGATATATAGCAGGATTTCCAATGTGAAAACAGAATGTAAAGGAGCCTTTAAAAAATATCATCACCCAAGATTTTGCGACGAAATGGAAAACGTCATGCTCACCTTTGTACTATGGGTCCATTAAAAAGAAATGGGAAACTTGGAAACATGTCAGATATAAAAGAGAAATTGATATAGTGATGACCAGATTTAAGGCTGAGACACACCAAACTGGCAGCACACAGCTCTGAGTACAGAACAGACATTAACAACTCTGCATCCACTGTCAGGTGCCCGAAACAATCGAACACTGTCTCCTTCACTGCTTCTGACATTATAGTGCCAGAGTAAATCTCAAGTACTTATTTCACTTAAAATATCCTTTACCATCGAGCATATATTAGGAGGCGGTGACCACTTGTTACAAGAAAAATACCAAATACAAAGCACTGGCTAAATATCTCCAGTCGACCAACAAATTGGGTCACATCTGACCCGCGCCACATTTATACCTGGCGCCACCAACAGCTAAACACAGAAAACAACTGCCTCGTCGCAACACCATGGATCAGCTGACGCCATAAACACAACATACCGCCCTACGGTGCGGCAATTCTCCCTCTAACATACACCTCTGTTTTAGTCGCCGCTCCTCTGTCTACAGCACAACGCAACAAGCACTTTTGAAACTCTTATCATCTTCAACATAAATGCCTCTACCAACATCTGTACTGGTGCAGTCATTGGGAGGACAATCCCTTCATGCAAACTGCAGCTACTATCAAGAAGAAGCATACAAAATAAACAAAATTCTGCTTACAAGCTCCAAAAAAAAAAAAATCATAACTTAGCTTCTGAGATAGAACCTTCATATTGTGCATGTTTCGAAGCTAAGGAAGCATAATTTTCATTAACAATAGTTCCACATTAAATATTGAATTTATAAGTTTTAAGATTACATGATGTGACCTTATCTTGAGGTTACCTTGAGGTGATTTCGAGGCTTAGCGACCCCGCAGTCCGGTTGTCGATCAGGCCTCCTCGTTGATGGACTGGTCAATCAGGCTGTTGGACACAGCTGCTTGCAGCCTGACGTACGAGTCACTACCTGGTTGATCAGGTGTAATTTGGAGGTGTTTGTGAAGTTCTCTCTTGAACACTGAGGGGTCGGCCAGTTATACTCCTTATGTGTAATGGAAGCGTGTTGAATAGTCTCGGAACTCTGATGTTGATAGAGTTCTCTCTCAGTACCTGTTGCACCTCGAATTTTCAATGGGGGTATTCTGCATATCCCTGCCATGCCTTCTGGTCTCATGTGATGTTATTTCTGTGTGCTGGTTTGGGACCAGCCCTTCTACTATTTTCCATGTGTAACTTATTATGTATCTCTCCCGCCTGTGCTTTAACATTGAATCTTAAATATATAAAACCACATACCTTAAACCATTAACCTTGAATATATAAAAAGATGTTTTTGTGCCAGGGGGCCTGATGGCTGAGTGGACAGCGCTCCGGGTTCGTAGTCCTGAGGGTCCGGGTTCGATCTCCGGCGGAGGCGGAAACAAATGGGCAGTTTCCTTCCCCCTGATGCGCCTATTCACCTAGCAGTAAATAGGTACCTGGGAGTTAGACAGCTGCTACAGGGCTGCATCCTGGGAATGTGTGTGTTGGGGAAAATTAGGATTAAGGACTTGCCCAAAACATTATGCGTGCTTGTAAGAAATCTTGTACTGTATACTGTATATAAGTAAAATAAAATAAAAATATTTAATTTATTTTTCAAATGTTATTCATTAAATGCATAAATACAGTCCTTCTTTAGTATAAGTTTCATTTTTGGGATAGCTTTGGGAACAGGAGTAAAAAAAATAATGAAGTAGCATACCTCACATTTAGTGAAATACTTTAGTAATGTACTTGTTTATGGAAATTACTGGACTCGAAAAATAAAATATAATTTCATACAACTTTGAGGAAAGCTTTCAACCTTAACATGTTAGTGCTTTCTCCTGTGCAGCATTTCTTCTGAGTTTTGAGTGTCTGTGGCAGTTATTGTGCAAGTTTGCCAGTTGCAGTATGTGGATCAACCTTAGTGAGAACTTGTTCAATTGGAATATTCAATATGTCTGGCTGGTGAAGATACACAAAAAAAATTCAAATTCAAAATACAAATGTTTATTCAGGTAAAGTACATACATCAAAGGGGTGATACAAATATTGATGAATTTATAGATAGAGCTAGTACATACAATGCCTAAAGCCACTATTGCGCAAAGCGTTTCGGGCCGGAGATATGCCCGACAAACACATATGATGGGGATATGCCATTGGGATGTAGGAGATTGATCAAAACTTCATTACATTCGATGCTGGTTTTATAGTAAGTCCCTCAGTGGCTCTATGTTCTCTTCTTTCCCCTTTCAGCGGCTTCAATTTGCTTTTGGGTGGTGCATATCTGATTCAGTAATGCCAAAAGATGCTGAGCTCATGGAGTTGCCAGCTGGTGGTGGAGGTGCTTATTCAACTCATCCTCCTAATAGAATATTGCATTTTGCCATATACTCTACCTAAGGCCAAAAATTGTCGTACAGAAAAATGCTAGCGGCTCGTGAAATTGACATACTATCCCGTTTTCTGTTTTAGTTCCTCTGGTAGGCCCTGCATTTGCAATACTTAATGAATGCAGGTCCTTTATTTGACCTGACTTTCATGTCCTTGTGGGGGCACTGGTAACATAGTCACATTCAATGATACAATAATGCAGTTCATATTTTGTTTCTTCTTTTAAAGAAAACTCATACTGATTACCAGCTTTCCATTTATTAGTTTTTTATTTTGCTTTACTATGTTTTCTAATATATTTGATATTGTATTTTTGTATCATTGAGCTTTGTGTCTTGTTACAAGTATAAGTGGTAAATGCCTTACTTGTGTAGTAATAATGAACAGCAGGAACACTGTACTAAGGAAAGATGGTCATTACAACTTCTGTATTAATGAGGTTATAACCCAAGGTTTTATATGGTAAATACTGTATGGTTTGCATATTTTGTCAATTTGTCAGTTAGTATTTTTATTGGTTCTAATGTACAGTACAGTATCTCTAATACTTCTCATATTTGTATTTTTTATAGAGTACTGCACTTGTTTTTGAATGGTTCAAAGTGTGATGCCGAGTATAACTGGGCCGTTCGTGTTGGGCGGTGGAAGTGGTGGAGCAGGAGACAGAGAAAATAGTGACGGTGGAGGTAATCGTGGAGGAGGGAGGAGCAGTGGAGTGTCCCGGCCAATGTCCAACGAGGAATGTGGTATCCGAGAAGTATGGGCACACAATATGGAAGAGGAATTTCATCACATCCGTCGCATTGTGCACCAGTATCCTTATGTTGCCATGGTATGTAAAAACTTTCGTTATATAAGATTTAAATATATAATTTGATTATTCAAGAAAAATAGGTTTCTTAACAGATATTAAGGTAATTATAGTAAATATACAGTATTACCAGATATTTGTTGATTTTACCTAGTCAGGGTTGCAACTTTGTGCAATGTTGCATGCAAATGCCTCCACTTAATAAGGTAAGATGTGAGCAAGGCATCTAAGATCCAGGGTGCACTTTACTAGGTGAGGGGTGGGAAGATCCTTATTGGTTAGCTTTACCTAAAACTCAAATCACATTGGTCATAGAGTCCCCAAAAGTTATAGAATGCTATACAGTACAGTATAAGGGTCTTTCCTAGGGTCCATCTACATGAAATTTATTTGAGCAGGGACTAAGTAGTATAATAGTATGGCGCTTAAAGCAGGTCACATGTTCAGTAATTCAAGTAGATTATCATGGCAATGTTTAGTAAAGGATCAGTCTAAACAACAAGTGTACAAAAATATGTTTATTCAGAGAACTTAATACATGGGGGAGCAATTTAGTCTTCTGATTGGTGGTATGCAATGCTAATATTGTGTTAGAAACATGCTGTCTCACATACTAATCATGCGGCCACACATGTCAACAGTCCTATCTTAACAGTTCATTAACATCAATCTCAAGACGACTTAACCTAACTGGTTTTCCTGGCTGGTTGCAAGGGAAATAATGCAAGTTCTGTAGGATATTCGGGAACACTAATGCCATATACAAAGTTAACAGAATAATCACATACATATAAGTTGATATGTGTGGTGTGTTTTTCAATGTACACAATCACCCTTCACTGATGATCGACGAGGTGTTGAGGGGAAGCACATGTGAGCACAAGCTCCGCGAAAAACTAACTATATATATATATATATATATATAGTTAGTTTTTCGCGGAGCTTGTGCTCACATATATATATATATATATATATATATATATTATATATATGTATATATATATAATATATATATATATATATATATATATATATATATATATATATATATATATATAGTTAGTTTTTCGCGGAGCTTGTGCTCACATATATATATATATATATATATATATTATATATATGTATATATATATATATATATATATATATATATATATATATATATATATATATATATATATATATATATATATATATATATATATATATATATATATATATATATATATATATATATATATGTATGTATGTATGTCGTACCTAGTAGCCAGAACGCACTTCTCTGCCTACTATGCAAGGCCCGATTTGCCTAATAAGCCAAGTTTTCATGAATTAATATATTTTCTCTGTTTTTTTTCTTATGAAATGATAAAGCTACCAATTTCATTATGTATGAGGTCAATTTTTTTTATTGGAGTTAAAATTAACGTAGATATATGACCGAACCTAACCAACCCTACCTAACCTAACCTAACCAATCTTTATAGGTTAGGTTAGGTTAGGTAGCCGAAAAAGTTAGGTTAGGTAGGTTAGGTAGTCGAAAAAACATTAATTCATGAAAACTTGGCTTATTAGGCAAATCAGGCCTTGCATAGTAGGCTGAGAAGTGCGTTCTGGCTACTAGGTACGACATATATATATATATATATGTCGTACCTAGTACGACATATATATATGTCGTACCTAGTACAACATATATATATATATATATATATATATATATATATATATATATATATATTATTATTTTTAAGGAAAATAATGGGCATTAAATTCTAATAACAAGAACATTTTAATCCATTACAGGACACAGAATTTCCTGGCGTGGTTGCACGGCCAATTGGTGAATTCCGAAGTAATGCAGATTACCAGTACCAGCTTCTACGATGCAATGTGGACCTGCTCAAAATTATCCAGTTGGGTCTAACTTTCCTAGATGAACAGGGCAAAACACCACCTGGATTTAGCACTTGGCAATTTAATTTCAAGTTTAATCTTACGTAAGTACAGTAATTGGAATCGTACATTAGTAAATCTTTATATAATTGAAATAATGTTAAAATTACTGTGTTGTATTTTGTATTTGTTTATATACTATTAGTTTTAACTTCCTGATGTGGAAGAAAAAAAGTATGTCATTTGAAAAATATATATTTAATAAAGAGGAGTTTGTTGGGTAGACAATCCACATCATGGAAAAAAGAAAGCATTGGATTATATACGAGAGAGGTTTTGTGGAGGCAGAGGATGTACAAGAGGCTAGAGCATGTTTATATAGGGCTGTCTGCAGGTTTCACTGTACTCGCCTAATTGTGCTTGCGGGGGTTGAGCTTTGTCTCTTTGGTCCCGCCTCTCAGCTGTCAATCAACTGGTGTACAGATTCCTGAGCCTACTGGGCTCTATCATACCTACATTTGAAACTGTATGGAGTCAGCCTCCACCACATCACTTCCTAGTGCATTCCATTTATTAACTACTCTGACACTAACAAAATTCTTTCTAACGTCTCTGTGGCTCATCGGAACCACAATCCACTGTTGTGGAACAAGGATGCTCTCTTTTTTTTCTCTCTCCTCCTCGGTTTGTGATGGCCCCTTCAGTTCAGGACTGTTTTTCTACGGTTCTTTTCTTGTTGGCATTGGCCTCTGAGGGTCGGGTCGGAGAGCTTCATGATCTTCGGCACGGGTTTCTGCTCTTTCGGTCCTGGTAGTCATTTCTTCGTTTACAGCCGTCTCCTTCTTTTCTGGTGATGAATAAGTCTGCTGCTATATGAAGGGGTCTTTGGGTTGTTGATGCTTGGTTGGTTCGGCTGGGGTGCATCATATTTTGTGTCCGTTTGTGGCTCTTCTCCGTTATTTGCGCGCCACGGCCTCTATGGCAGAGGACGCACTTTGGGTTGACCCGGTTTTCCTTCTTCCCTATTCCAGGACGCGGGTCTCCCAGGTTATCTACAGGATTATTCGGTCCAGCCAGCCTGTGGTCTATTGCCATGCCTACGCCGTTCATAAGTTCGCAGCTTTGGTTGCTGTTTTGGTAATATGTCCTGGCTTATCTTTCGGGCACAGGACTTTTGGAGGTTGAACAGGGCAGTACGGCAGTATGAAGTGCTTGTGTTCGAGGTGGATGTTACTTCTGCCCCATTCTGCAACCTGTCTCGTGCATTGTTTCACCTCCGGGCTGCTCATGCGCCACCTGAGCCATCCTGGTCATTGGACCAAGTGCTCTCTTTTCTCTCTTCTCCTCTCCTCTGTTAGTTGTGGCCCCTTCGGTTCAAGATAGTTTTGTGAAAGCTCTTTTCCTGTTGGCATTTGCTTCGGGGGGTCGGGTTGGAAAGCTTCATGCTCTCCTCCGGCACAGAGGTTTCTGCTCCTTTGGTCCTGGTGGTAGGTTTGTTCGTTTGCAGCCGTCTCCTCCTTTTCTAGCAAAGAATGAGACTGCTACTTTCTGGAGGGGGTCCTAGGGTTTTTTATGCTTGGTTGGTTATTCTGAGGGTGTATCATGAGTTGTGTCCGATTACGGCTCTTCGCCGTTACCTGCGCGCCACGGTCTCAGTGGACCGGGATGCGCTTTGGGTGTTCTTGGTTCCCCTCCTTCCCTGTTCCAGGGTTTGGGTCTGCCAGGTCGTCCACAGGGTAATTTGGTCCAGCCAGCTTGCAGTTTATCCCCGTGCCCATGACGTTCGTAAATTTGCTGCTTTGGCTGAGGTCTTTGGTAACGTATCTTGGGCTGATATGTGGGCATGGCATTTTTGGAGTTCAAACAGGGTCCTGGCCGCTCGCTACCTTGTCAATGTTCCTGGCGGGCATGTGTCACATTGGGTCAGCGGTTGCAGCCAGTTGTCTCGACTTCGAGTTGAGGAGTGAGTGGCGATTGCCTCCCGGGAAAGTCCCTCATTTTATCTTTTGGTAAGTAGCTCCGGGGAGCCGAAGGGGCTCCCCCCAGAAAACCAGCGTTGAATGTAATGAAACGCCATTTTTCTGAGTGACCCGGATGCTCCCCGGCAACCCTCCATCCCTCCTGTTGGCGGTTTTTCGTGTGTTTTGACATCCAGCCTCAGAACTAGGGGTTTGGATAGCTGGGGCTTCCCCTTCATCCTCCTGGGAAGGGGGGGAAGCTACACAAACGGTGGCACGTTGACGGTTGTGACGTCAGGCTTGTTTGCTCGTTTTTATTTGGGGGAGTTCTCTCCAACAGTTCTGCTTTCAGTAGCAATATTTTAACCAGATAGGATTTGTTTTGGGGCACCTACCTTTCTGAACTGGTCGATAGCAGACATAGAATGCTTTCAACCACATGGGGGGGGGGGTTATAGGCTATTGATCTTCGTGCTTCTCTGAGGGGGCCAGGTTCCGACTCGTGGTCCCCGGTAGGCCTAAGAACTCCATTCGCTTTGACTGATGCTAGGATCTAATACATTCATATCAGCCCGGATAGCTCTGGGGGCTTCCGGGTCTCACACAGGAAATGGAGTTTCATTACATTCACTGCTGGTTTTTTTGTTAAATTTTAAATTTAAATAGATTTCTTTTTTCCACTTTGTCTGTTTTCTCCTGAGGATCTTGTAAGGAGTGGTCGTATCCCATTTCTTCTCCCCTCTTAAGGTTATAAGGGCGAGTTCCCTTTGTCCTTGTCCTCAAAGCCTCTCAAATATGGCACTGTACTAATTAGTTGCCATCCTCCCAACTTTCTCAAGTTTCTGTTTATACTTCACTGTGTGGGTTTCATGCTGGTGCTGCATATTCAACTTATGTTGAATAGGCAGTGTGTATGTACTTGAGAACATCCTTGTTTACATTCTAAAATGAATTTGTTTGCTAACTTTCCATATGCTGCTGATGTTATCCTGTTCTCATGAGCTTCTGCTTATAGTGTTGGGATCATGTCTTCCCTCAGGTCTTCATCTATTGTTGTTTCTTGCAATGGCCTTTCCTTTATGGTGTAGTTAAATAGAGGTCTCCTATCTCCCTTACCCATTTCCATTACTTTACACATTTGGATTGAATTCCAACAGCCATTTATCTGCCCACACCTGAAGTTTGTCAAGGTTTTCTTTCAACACCTGCAGTCCTCTTCGGTTCTTACTCACCTAATTAACTTTGCATCATTTGCAGACATCGGCGCGTATGATCACACTTTATGATCGCGAGGTCAGGTAAAAACATAAATTAAAAAGAGCAGTGGTCTTGGGACAGACCCGTGGAATGCCATATTTTTTTCTCCTTCAAACTGACAGTCTCTTTGGCCATGACCCTTTGTTTCCTATCAAGGACTCTCATACCCAGTCTTGTTGATGGTCTTCTTGTTGTTTCATTTATTCTTTTATGTGTGATTTCTGCCTGGTAATTAGAATATTTAAGATTATGCATTCTATAAAGAAAGGTGGATATGGATTGTTTATTTTCTCTGATGCTACTCAACCTCATATAAGATGGGTCTTGAATTGGATATTGTATTCTTTTGTTTTAAATATCTAATCCTTCTTTAACATGTTATTCAGGGAGGACATGTATGCGCAAGACAGTATAGACCTGCTGCAGAATTCTGGACTACAGTTCAAAAAGCACGAAGAGGACGGAATTGAGCCAGTTAACTTTGCGGAACTTTTAATGACGTCTGGAATTGTGTTGTTTGATAATATCAAGATGCTCTCCTTCCACAGGCAAGTAATGAGAAGTCAATTAAAATTGCCCAAACAATATATTTATTTGTCATTTGGGTTAGATTGTGTGTCATTTAAACCTTTCTTCACATTCAAAGCAACATTTTACTTCATCATAATCCTTCTAAGGGACCATATCACTTACCTTTACACTGCTATCTCCCTCATTTCTTTTCCTCTATCTGGGAAGAAACTGATAAGTAGCTCCTGAAGTTTATCTCGGATACAACTAAACCTTAGCCCAACATGACAGGCCTCTTGAGATCCAACCATTCCCTACCAGGAGTCAGGACCAGAATTTGGCTCACTTAACAAGGAAAACCTATCAGAAAGAATATGGGCAACTAAACAAACTACTGCTTGGAGTATGAAATTGTGAACCCCTAGGTAAACAAGGCATAGGATCACGACTGTCAGGTGAATACTCTGACTCGTAGGTGTCTGTCATCAAATGGCATCTTGGAGTCGTCAAAGGTCTTGGCCAGCCTGTTGTATTACTCTTCCACCTGGCATTGCCAGTCAAATGCCTGTAGCCTCTGCTGGGCCCTACATCGGCATCTCACTTTGAGCGAAGTGATGTTAGCTTTCCCTAGAATATCATGTTCCACCAGAGGCCATTGCTTTGTTTTTGTTTGTCACCCACTTGCCTGTATACTAATTTTCTAGTCCAGACTTATAAGTCAGTTTGAATGTCTTTGTATCCGCCAGAAATAAGTGCTCTCAATTAGTCATCTTAGTAATAAAATGAAGAAAAAGAAAATGTAATTGAATGTAATGAAATGCCTCTTTCTTGTAGAACCTTGGTGGCTCTCTGAAGCTATCGCATTGAAATGACTTCCCACTATGTCATGTTAATTGCACAATTCCTGTTTGGTCTAATGGAGGCCAGAGCCAAAACCTGAGCCTCTCACAGTGGCGCAAGGAGCATTGAATTATTATTGTCACTTTCACTGGGAAAGCATCCAGAAAGTCAGCGAAGCTTTATCCCCTGGCCTGCACACCTGTTATTCTTTGACAGTACCCCGATGTGCAAGAAAAATGTTAAAATGTGTTCCCCAATAATATATATAACAAAATAAAATTTGACTTACCTTGACTGTGAACGAGTAAAGAAATCTTGCGATGACATTACGATTCATGCTTGCTCTTGTAGTGAGCATCCCAGTGGCGTCGTGTGAACCATTCAATCGGCAAGAGTTTCTGCAGTATATTTTTTTACAATTTATTTTCAATGCACTTTACTAGTTTTTAATTTTTTCACTGTTTATATTCCTAGGGTGTCATTTTACGCTGTAATATAATAACACTTGCAGAATATCTGATTGACACCTGGTTGATGGGGTTCTGGGAGTTCTTCTACTCCCCAAGCCCGGCCCGAGGCCAGGCTCGACTTGTGAGAGTTTGGTCCACCAGGCTGTTGCTTGGAGCAACAGCCTATCGATGACCACAAATATGTGTGTGTGTGTAATATGCATTAAAATGTTTGTTACAGCACATTACAAAGTATTCTTGTCATATATCACTGTATACACTCCATATACTGAATACTGTACATGTTTATGCTCCATTATTGAAATGCTTAGTTCTAGAGAGTGTGATACTCGGTGAAGCAGGTCACATGACACGGGGCAGCACTGCACTCTTTGCACCATGTTGTCACTAATTTTCGTACCTCTGGCCTCCTTTGTATGTTAGCCTCCTTTGTATATTGGCCTCTTGCACACTTTCCAGAAGATGGTATATATTCCATTTTGTGCAGCTGGAAGCTCTATGAATGCCATTCTGTCTGGAATATCATGGGGCAATGTTGGGGTCTGAATACCTCTGTTTATGACATAAATGTCTTTGTCGAACTTTTTTTAGTAATTGTGCGAGATAAGCAAGACCAAAAACAAACACAAAGTTGGTGAATGGCCTGATTTCACCACACATATATATTACTGTATAACTGTTTAGCATGGTTACATCAGCAAAGTGGAAAAACGTGTTTTTGGTCCAGTTGACAGTTTTACGTACGCACTCATCAGTGCCAACCATCATGTCACACTTATCAACCAAGCATACATTTATGTTGCAGTTCATGACACTGGTTTTCGTACTGGTTCTTTTGTTGACTGATGACTTGATGTTTAGAGAGCATAACCAAGCAAATAGAGTATAATTTGATGTATAATTATAATGTGATGTATAATTTTTCCAGCTGGAAAAATTATACATCACAGTTTGGGAATTTACCCTGCTGCAATGATTGTTTCCTTGTTTACCTTAGAGGTGCCTAATTTCTTTTAAAGTTGCTTGTTTAGTTGTCCCTGTACTTTCGGATCAGCTTTTCCCAGTTTTGTTGTTGATCTCTGATCCCCTGCTCCCCTCGCTACATAGATTGAATACCCTTCAGCAACTCATTTAATGTGTTTTATAATCATGCACTCATCTTAGTGGCAGTGATGAAAATGGGTTTTGGGAACTATGTGTATATGCTAAGGCTGTATCCAAGATTTATGCTCGGGTATCAAAAGGTGGTACAGTACATTCATAATTACAACAAATAAACAAATAATTTTAATTGATAGAAACTTGGCAGAGGATACCTAATAAATGTCTCCATTAGTAAAGAAATTTATCATAAAAAATGGGAAATTGAAAAGTGGGTATGCGCCATAAATCTGCGTGCCCCTCCCCGCCCCCATTTCCATCACTGCTTAGTAGTGATGTGGTACATATCAGTATGTTAAGTGACTTGCTCTAATTGTTTCCTCCACAGTGGGTATGATTTTGGATACCTGTTGAAACTGCTAACAGATCAGAACCTACCGTCAGAAGAAAGTGATTTCTTTGATCTTCTCAGACTCTACTTCCCCTCTATATATGATGTAAAGGTAAGGAAGCATTTCACTTTAGTATTTTTTCTGGGGAAAACCCCTTGGGCACCCCAGAGCTATCCAGGCTGATATGGATATATTAGACTTTGGCTTCAGCCAATGTGCGTGGAGTTCTAGGCCTACTTGGGACCATGAGCCAGAACCTGCCCCTCCCCCTCAGAGAGGCACATGGATCAATGGCCTATAGAAACCCCCGTGTGACTGGAAGCATTCTGTGTCTGCCATTGACTAGGTCAGGCACCCGGAAAGGTAAGCGCCCCAAAACAAATCCCTATTCTGGTTAACGTTGCTACTGACAGCCGAACGAGTGGACAGAATTCCCCAAGTGAAAACGAGCAAACAAGCATGAGGTCACCGCACAGCTGTCTGCGCAACCCCCTTCTCCCTTCCCCGGGAGCAGGGAAGGGGAAGCCCCAGACCCCAGTTCTTTGGCTGATGTGATTGGCAACGGTTGTGTCTCTGGCTCCTGTTTTCCTGTCTCCAGCTATGTGCCTTGTGGTGTGTTCTTGGTGGTGCTTGAGCCATGAGTAATTTCACAAGTACTCGGGCTGCATGTGCCAAGGGTCAGCTTCCCTAGGTGCCTTGTTAGTACTTCCCTTGAGGCTTGGGGCCACCTTCCATAAGCCTCCGGGGAGCCGGTCGGCCGAGCGGACAGCACGCTGGACTTTTGATCTTGTGGTCCCGGGTTCGATCCCGGGCGCCGGCGAGAAACAATGGGCAGAGTTTCTTTCACCCTATGCCCCTGTTACCTAGCAGTAAAATAGGTACCTGGGTGTTAGTCAGCTGTCACGGGCTGCTTCCTGGGGGTGGACGCCTGGTCGAGGACCGGGCCACGGGGACACTAAAAGCCCCGAAATCATCTCAAGATAACCACCTTCCACAAGCCACCTTGTGATCTACCTCCGCTGTGTCTTTTGTTGCTTGGTGATTGACCGCCCTTGGAGTAAGTTGGGGTGTTTGTGCTGCCCTGTTTGCCTCTGGGTAGGGGTGGTTTTCGTCACTGGTTGGGGTGCGGGGTGCTGTGCCGCTAGTTATTACTTCTCATAGCAGAAACCCTGTCCTGCCTGGGTACGTTGTCCTCTTGCGTGATTTTATTTTCCTTTTTGTTTTTCCTGCCTGGTGGGGGTCTGCCTTTGATTGGTCACACACTATTGTACTTTGATGGTCCTCTGCTAGGCCCATGCAAGTGTTCACATCCCGGGGGTTTAGTTTTTAGTTCAGTTTTTTAGCAGTTTGCTCGGTAGTTTTGGGCAGCTGGTTAGCAGTACCCTACCTGGGCTTCCTTTAGCGGAATACCACAACTAAGGGATGGGATGGAATAAAACCACCAGGGATGTGACCCCTGGGTCCCCTCTCTCTTCGTGTGAGTTTAAAGGTTGCTCTGCCCTCCTTGTCTCAGGGTGACATTCACTGCTTCTGCCTTCCTCATGCTGTTTGTTGGGTTGGTGACACCTGCGACCCAGAGTCCTGCAAGTTTTGTTGCTTGTTTGTGACTCAGTACACCCAATCCACTGATTGGGTGTACTGATTGGTTCAGGTGCAGGTAACTTGGATGTTGCATGCGAAGTTTAGTTTGCTGCAACGTGCTAGGATGGTTGCTGACCTGGACGCCTTGACGCCCCCTTTTGGTTATAGGGACCTGGACATGGGGATGTTGGTTGTTTCGACCTTGGTTCGGTCCGCGCCTTCTTGTCCTTCCCATGCTGTGGTTCGTTCTGGCCCCCCTCTCCTTTCCCCCTGCTTCCGGCTCTAAGGCATCTGAGGGTTTTCGAGTTTGGGCAGGGTTTAGTTAGGTTTCTAGACTTGGGCGGTCTCGGGGAATGCCCCCTAAATAAAAAAATAACTAAATAAATAAATAAATATAAACAACTGGGCCTCTGCCCTTCACACTGAACTAAATGTAGCTCATTATTTGCATCTGTAACCCTTTCCACTACCGCAAACGCAGGGGTTATTCTCGCTTTTTTTAGGTCTCTGTGGCGTAGCGCCCAAGCGCCTTGCCTTGGGTTCGAATCCTGGCCGGGGAGGATTGACCGGGCGCCAATCCTTAACTGTAGCCTCTGTTCACCCAGCAGTGAATGGGTACCTGGTTGTTAAACGATTCGGCGGGGTCGTATTCCGGGGAAATTAGGGTTAAGGACCTGCCCGAAACGCTACGCGTACTAGTGGCTTTACAAGAATGTAGAATATCTGGAAAGATTTGGAGTTCAAGTGACTTGTTGAAGAGCAATGCAATAGCAGGGGCTAAAGATCTGGAGGTTTTTTTGTAAATTAAAGTTGGCATCTCCTCAAGGGCACTAGACTTGGTTTTAAGGGAAAGGATTATCTCATTAACATCAGTGGAGTTTGCAGGCGTTAGGTACAGAGACTGTGGATAGTTACCTGTAAGATAGTTCTGAACATCAACACTGGAAGATGAAATATTATTTGCAAGGGATGACCCAATGGAAGAGAGGAACCTATTGAACTCAATAGCAGTATCAGAGGCTGTAAGCTGACCATCGTTATTGGACAGGAGTATTCGTTTGTTATTTAAAATAAAATCTTCTTTGATCCCAATATTTGTGAAATTGTGCTCCATGTTTTCTTAATGTTGCCCTTTGTTTGGGTAAATTTATCTTCGTAGTATTTAGTTTTGGCTCTTCTAATTATTTTAGATCGTAATGACGAGTAATTCTTTGAAAATTCTTTGAAGACGATTCCTAACCTATACTTCTTCTCAAGGTCATGTTTTTTATTAATGGATTTAAGCCTTACCCTTTGTAAGCCAAGGATTGTTTAGCCTTTTAGTTGTAACTTGTTTCGTTAGCATAGGACAGTGGGTGTTATAAAGGCTGAGAGTTTTTTGAAGAAAAGATTGCACTGCTAGGTTGATGTTACCTAATTCGGACTCCCAGTTGACATTAGTAGCAGCAGCTATAAAATTGCCTATAGCAGTTTCATTGTGCAGCCTATATCCCTTGTCTCTACAGCAGCTGGCAGTCAAAACTAACTTTGCTTAATGAACTGTACAACTGTACAGTAATTTTAAGTGTTAATTTTAGTGTTGTGTTAGTATAGGTTACGTAAACTGTTAAGAATTCTTAACTTCAAGATGTGTGGCATCAATCAAGAAGATGAACACCAACAAGGTAAGTTGAGGTTCCTAGTTGAATATTTAATAATTATATGTGGCAAGGCAATTCAAATTATGTGTTTGTAGTATAAAAAGAGTTGGAAATGGTCACTTTTGGACTCGTAGGTGATGAAAAAGTACCATTATCCGAAAAATGTGATAATCCGGCTGGGGGTCCTTCCCATATAGTCCGGATAATCGAGTGGAGACAGTATTTGAAAGTTGGGAAAGAAATGTGTACCACCTGTACACTATACTGTACTGTATATCCCTTGATTTTTAATTAATGAATTTAATTATTATGCAACAATTTATGACTTGTTTGATGCACATATATAAGATCATTTTTTCTTCAGTACCTGATGAAATCCTGTAAAAACCTGAAAGGAGGACTACAGGAAGTTGCGGAACAGCTTGAACTTGAGCGTGTGGGTCCTCAGCATCAAGCTGGGTCAGACTCACTTCTTACAGGTGCAGCCTTCTTCAAAATGAAAGAGGTTTGTACTGTTGTCTAAGACTGTGATACTCCCTCATATCAAGACTCATTGTAGTAGATGCATCTCTTTCTGGCCAAGACTCATATTAGTTATACTCATCACTGGAGGATTAAAGGTGAGAAAGAACTGCTAGATTTATCATCTGTATAAACATGTTCATTGTTTATACATGTAAACATGTTCTGGACATTATTCAATTATTTTTCTTTATCATTAAACAGGCTTCTTTGCTGATAAATAATAAACAGGATATTTGCTTTTGCTTTCCTTACAACTGTGGCCACCTTTTCTATTACCTTCGAGTGTGTTTTGTTCCATTTGTCATGTTCCTTGTTTGACCTTCATGTAGCTAATGGAGGGCTGTAAATAACACCTTCCACTATCTTTATGGCCCTAGGTGTTATCATAACTAGTATTCTTGGTTGGAGCAGTTTCCCGCCAACTGAGAATACTCGGCTGGCGCAGACATGAAGTAAATGAGATGTATGTCAGGTTTTGTGAAATATATGATAAAGGCACAACATTTTTTATTCCAAAGCAGAGATGCTTTGGAATAAAAATCTTGAGATACCCTCGAGATATTGACATAATGGCATTGCAGATCTGGAATCAAGATGATAAGGTGATAATTTTAAATGCCTACAGTCCACCAGCAAGCAACACATGGACAAAGGAAGAACTGGATGACAAACGAGAGGGCCTCATAATGGTCATGAGAGAGAATATGGTAAGAGCTGACAAAGATAAATCCCGATTGTTGGTACTGGAGAACTTCAACTTTAAGGCAATAGACTTGGAGGCCTACGAGGCAAGAACAGAGGACATTTGGACAGGCAGATTTGTAAACCTCATCTTGGAGACATTCATGTATCAACACGTCAAGCAGGCCACAAGAATAAGGGAAGGGGATGTTCCGTCAATACTGGATCTAATATTCACCAGGAAAGAAGAAGAGATATTTGACATCCAGTACCTTCCTCCCTTGGGAAAGAGTGATCACGTCCTCTTGGACATTAAATACGCTTTGCGATATAATCTAGTAGAGAATGGGGACATTGAAACAGTTGTTAAACTCAATTTCAAGAGAGGATGCTATGGGAAACTTAGAAATTTTTTCATGGGTATAATTGGACAGACTTGTTGCTAGGTAAGGAAGTAAATGAGATGTATGCCATATTTTGCAAAATAAACGATGAAGGCACACAAACATTCATACCAAAACAGAGATGCAGACCTAGGAAACAGGATTGGTTCAACAGAAATTGCGAGGGGCCAGAGATCAAAAGACACAGGCATGGAATCATTATAGGAAGAGGCCAAACCCCCAAACATACCAGCGATACTAAGATGTGAGAAACAACTACACGTCAGTAAGGAGAGAGGCAGAGAGGAACTTTGAGAACGGTATAGCAGACAAATGTAAATCAGATCCAGGCCTTTTCTATAAATTCATTAAAAACAAGCTGCAGGTAAAGGATAATATTCAGAGGTTGAAAATGGGGGACAGATACACAGAAAATGAAAAGGAAATATGTGAAACATTAAACGAAAAGTTCCAAAGTGTGTTTGTACAAAATGAGATCTTCAGGGAAACAGACAATAAGAATTCCAGAGAACAACATAGAGCACATAGAGGTGTCTAGAGACGAAGTGAAACAAATGCTCTTGGAGCCAAGTAAGAACAAAGCAGTTGACCCAGATGGAGTTTCACCATGGGTTCTGAGAGAATGTGCACCTAAGCTCAGCATACCACTTCGGCTGATTTTTCAGATATCCCTGTATACAGGAGTTGTAGCAGATGTGTGGAAACAGACTAACATAGTTCCAATCTACAAAAGTGGCAGCAGGGAAGACCCCCTCAATTATAGACCTGTATCATTGACAAGCGTAATAGTCAAAATATTGAAAAAAATAATAAAAACTAAATGGATAGAACACCTGGAGAGAAATGATGTAACATCAGACAGACAGTATGGTTTTCGATCTGGAAGATCCTGTGTATCGAATTTACTCAGTTTCTATGATCGAGCCACAGAGATTTTACAGGAAAGAGATGGTTGGGTTGACTGCATCTATCTGGACCTAAAAAAGGCTTTCGACAGAGTTCCCCATAAGAGGTTGTTCTGGAAACTGGAACATATTGGAGGGGTGACAGGTAAGCTACTAACATGGATGAAAAATTTCCTAACAGAAAAATGAGGGCTGTAATCAGAGGCAAGGTATCGAATTGGAGGAATGTCACGAGTGGAGTACCACAGGGTTCAGTTCTTGCACTGGTAATGTTCATTGTCAACATAAACGATCTACCAGTGGGAATACAGAATTACATGAACATGTTTGCTGATGATGCTAAGATAATAGGGAAGATAAGAAACCTAGATGATTGTTATGCCCTTCAAGAAGACCTGGACAAAATAAGTATATGGAGCAATACTTGGCAAATGGAATTTAATGTGAATAAATGCGATGTTATGGAATGTGGAATTGGAGAACATAGACCCCCCACACAACCTATAAATTATGTGAGAAATCTTTAAAGAATTCTGACAAAGAAAGGGATCTAGGAGTGGTTCTAGATAGAAAACTGTCACCTGAGGACCACATTAAGAACATTGTGCGAGGAGCCTATGCTACACTTTCTAACCTCAGAATTGCTTTTAATTACATGTATTGTCCTAGTTGCATTGTCCCTCTTACGGTCGTGCATGTCCTTCTTGAATGTCCTGACTTCCAGGACGAGCGTGTGTCTTGCTTTCCGACCGCCCCTCGCGGTCACCTGTCCCTCAATAGAATTCTTGGTGACTCGGATACTTTTGATATCGTTCGCCTTATGCGTTTTTGTTCTCGTATTGGCATCGTTCTCGTATTGATATTTAGCGCCCTCTGATTATTTTGCGCATTTGATGGTGCTACATAGCCTTCCCGGTTTGGTGCCTTCTTTTGATAATTACTTACTTACTTTTAATTACATGGATGGCAAAATACTAAAGAAATTGTTCACGACTTTTATTAGGCCAAAGCTGGAATATACAGCGGATGTATGGTGCCCATATTTTAAGAAGCACACCAACAAACTAGAAAAGGTGCAAAGACATGCCACTAAGTGGCTCCCAGAACTGAAGAACTAGAGCTACGAGGAGAGGTTAGAGGCATTAAATATGCAAATACTAGAAGATAGAAGAAAAAGAGGCAATATGATCACTACGTTCAAAATAGTAACAGGAATCGATAAAATTGATAGGGAAGAATTCCTGAGACCCGGAACTTCAAGAACAAGAGGTCATAGATTTAAACTAACGAAACAAAGCTGCCAGAGAAATATTCGAAAATTCACTTTTGTAAACAGAGTGGTAGACGGTTGGAACAAGTTAAGTGAGAAGGTGGTGGCCAAAACCGTCAGTAATTTCAAAGCATTATATGACAGAGTGCATTATATGACAGATTATATGACGGGACACCACGAGCGTAGCTCTTATCCTGTAACTACACTTAGGCAATTACACTCACTCACTCTATATAACTATATATAACTATATAACTATATATAACTATATATAACTATATATAACTATATATATATATATATATATATATATATATATATATATATATATATATATATATATATATATATATATATATATATATATATATATATATAATATGCGAACAAGCCTGAATGGTCCCCAGGACAATATGCAACTGAAAACTCACACCCCAGAAGTGACTCGAACCCATACTCCCAGGAGCAACGCAACTGGTATGTACAAGACGCCTTAATCCACTTGACCATCACGACCGGACATAACGAGGTGATAGCCAAGGCTATTTGAACCACCCCACCGCCGGCACTCGGATAGTAATCTTGGGCATAGCATTTTACCAAATCACCTCATTCTTTGGGGCACACGTGAGGAACACAAATGCGAACAAGCCTGAATGGTCCCCAGGACAATATGCAACTGAAAACTCACACCCCAGAAGTGACTCGAACCCATACTCCCAGGAGCAACGCAACTGGTATGTACAAGACGCCTTAATCCACTTGACCATCACGACCGGACATAATGAGGTCCGGCTTCAAATAGCCGAGGCTATTTGAACCACCCCACCGCCGGCACTCGGATAGTAATCTTGGGCATAGCATTTTACCAAATCACCTCA